ATTGCAGCGTGAGACAGGATCTCCTAAGGGTTTTCGAAGAATGTGTCAAACTGTTCACATCCATTTGCACTAACAATGATGGATATCGATGAAGTTATAGTTCATATCCGAGAGTTGGGCTAGGCGTGTCACCGGAAGTGGGGTACCCCCCAGGAGGCCCGTCGCGCGGCAAGAAGGCAAAGTCAGCGGACGAGTCGCGCGCGTACTATAGGGATTTCGCGTCAAGTTAAATAGAGTGTCCCATTGCACGTCCTACATCGCACCACGCGCTGCAACTCGTCCGGCAACTCTGCCTTCTTGCCGCGCGACGGGCCTCCTGGGGGGTACCCCACTTCCGGTGACACGCCTAGCCCAACTCTCGGATATGAACTATACTTCATCGATATCCATCATTGTTAGTGCAAATGATGTGAACAGTTTGACGCATTCTTCGAAAACCCTTAGGAGATCCTGTCTCACGCTGCAATCACGCCAGAGATCGCCTTGGTTCCAGTGCGTGTAATGAGACTAACTATTCATAAACTGTTCATGAACGACTCCAAAAGAGCATAGCAACTGCCCGTTTGGGACCATAGTCACTCCACAAATGCAGTACCTTGAAACACTTCCAATAATTGATAAAACTTTATTTGTACAAACACAACGGCACGGACTTGCAGAAGGAATCACAAATATGACAAGCGAGTCATAACTGGGTAGAGGAAACAACTTTGCAATGTAGAAGTCTCTGATAAAGGCACTTTTTGTAATAATATGAACGTGCAGAGGATATTCTCTACGCTGATGCAAGGGAAAAATTAATAAGGAAACACCCTGAAGGCACAGTGAAACGAACACGAAAGAGCTCATCGAGAGAGACAGCAACAATAAAGTGTGACAGATGATTAGAGCAAGAGGGACGTTGTGGCGATCACAAAAGCATCCAGCATACTATTTATCACTAACAACCGAATATGAATCAAGAATTAAAGGCATTCAATAGGCAACAAAAACAAGCTTAAAAGCAATCAAGTGTATGGCGGCAAGTATTTACTGTGATTGCCTTTACTTGCAGTGTAAAGGACACAATAAGACAACAGTATATAAGTTATGAACAACAGTATACAAATTAAATGTCTCGCTTACATGGCGTGCAAGAAATTCTTCTTCATGAAATAAGCAAGAACAGCCTTGATGAGATTATCACACAGATCTAAAAAATTCGCATTGCTGCAAATGGAGTTCTTCTACAACTTTTAACCAGTAACTGAAACATAAACAATCCGATAGCCTGAAAAATGATCATGATAATAATACGAATGCTCCAGAAATTCTCGATCATGAACGTTACAGAACTGAATGCGATTGTAACGATCTGTGAACCCAAAAAATCCAGCATATTTTTTCTTTAAAATTAGGATTGCTTGAGAATTGCCTGTGGATGATAGACACTAAGAAAAAACTTCTTTCGGATAATTGAAGGTTTTTTCTTTGTGCCAAGCAAGTTTTTTATAGTGATATATTTTAATTTATTATATATATATTATTTTTAATGACATCTCTCATACCCTCATGATTCCGTGCATACATCCATTTGTGCAGCTCTAAGTAAAGAATGTGATAAGCTGCGGTACCCCATGGGGGGTGCCAGGACCGTCAGTTCATTTATTTACATGATTCCTGCGCGGGAAGAGGCTTAGCGGTGCGAGGTGGAGAAAGGCAAGTGCCGTTGGATTTGACTCGGGATGGCTTTTTTGCTCGTATGCTATACGAAGTTAGTTACGTGTCGTGAGGAAACTCACGATAGGCGGAGCATAGGAACAGTGTGGGTATAAAATGATTGTATTGGGAGATTAGAGAGGCTTTTTCTGCTCTGTGCGCTTTCGCGCTCCGTTTTGCCTCTCGGTGGTTGCTTTGTGATGTATCTTAGAATGAACATCAATAAAATGTTCGTCGGCATCAACTTGTGAGATGCACGTAAACATTAGTGAGTGAGCGTTAAGTAGGATAAGTTTCATTTGAGAATTTTCGAAATGCTTCCTTCAGGCCTTGAAGACGACGAGCTAGTCGAAACGTCGGCAATAAACGCTTCACTATAAAAAACCTGTTTGGCACAGAAAAAACTTTCAATTATCTGGACATGCCAAGGTTTCAAGAAAGGCGAACTTGGACACTACAACTTCTTTTGTTAGGTTGGCTGAATTGAAATGTCTTTTTCGATCAATAATTCTCATCATAAATAAAGCACATCAACCTGAAAAATCTTCTTCACCTGTGTCACAGGCTCATCACCTTTTGTTACGCAAAGCATGGATGCCTACCGCGTAGAACTCTTTCTGGTTCGACTCGAAGAAGTTGGGCACTCAAATTTTGACGTCGTCGCGGTTATCGAATTGGTTTGCTGCTAAGGAGTGTTGCGCTGACCTGGGTCAGTGATAGTCGGACGGCGCCAGACCTGGGCTATATGGCGCTGGAGGTAGAACGTCCCAGCCCAACTCCTCGATTTCTTGTTGCGTGATTTTCACGACATGTGGTCTTCCGTTATTCTGCAATAGTTTTACATTGGCCGAATTCACCCCCCCCCCTGAAGATGCAGCGCTTGGCTTGGAGCGGTGGAGCTTTTATACGCAGAGTTCAGTCGTAACTGTATAATCCACAATGACCGCTCTACGGTACACTGTTGCTATACTATATCACCATATAAAAGCAGACTCAACTAGTTCTCCGTTACCTAGTGCTAGAGGTCAAAATCTATGCTCTTCGTTATCAGGTCCTTTACCTCAGTCTTGGAAGAGCTGAAACCATAGCTGAAAGTGCATCAGAGACTAAGTGTTGCTGCTCAATGTTTTGCACACAATGAGTGGATTCGTTGGCCGTTTTTCCTTGCTTGAATATATATACGCTCAGGCGATGTTTTCTGATCAATCATTTCGAGCAAAAGTTTTGGCTCGAAGAACATCGGCTCATTAGTGCGATGCGCACTTGCACTTGGGACGCTGTTTTATTTTTCCGCCCATGCGTTGCTTTCCTTATTTTTTCCATTTATTCTAAAAAAAATTCGAGATCCCACCGATTATGTAAACAAAAACGGCGTAGTTGATCATTCTACCTATGATCAATTATGCTTGACGTTGGCGAAGTTTCTCCAAGAAGGACAAATTTGCAAGTTCCGTACATCCCTAGTTTTTTTTTATATTCTCATAACATGTATTCAAAAAAGATTAGCTAAAACAAATGTAAGCCCATACATATAGCGAGATATATGTTTTCTTCTGGAACAACAGCACCAAAAATATTTTTGAGGTCCACTATAGCAGGAGTAAGTGAATTTACCTTTTCATTGCCACAACATGTCATTTTGATCGGACTTCAACTACTGCGCTTCATGATCGCATCAAAACATTGAAAATTGTTGATAAAGATTTGATCGCGTTCTATGTTGCGTAGTTATAGCTCAAAACCCCTACAGGTGAGGCTTCCTCGTTTGCAAAATCGCTGCAGTCCCATGCGCGAAAAACCCAAAACGGGCGCTGTCATCACTTTGTTAAAAAGCCGTCCATGAGCGACTCGGACGAGAAAATTACGCGTTTGCCTAAGGCACAAAAGACACAACCAGGGATGAGTTCTAATGGCTGAATCATTCATATGGGTAGAATAGAGCTGCTAACGGAGGCGTCCTGTCTCGTCTTTGTGATGCGCAGAAAAGGTGTTCGGACCTTGCAAAGGCCACTGCAACCGCTTCAATTTCTATTCAGCGGTATGCCGGTGTCTGGCACTAGTTCGCGTCTCTGTCATCATGATTTTGGCCCAAAAGCAAAGAGAGAGACATGTCCCCCGAAAAAAGTTCAACTAGCAATCGCGAACAATACCAAAATGATCCAGAAAAGTTGAAAAATTGAAATTTCTTTGTTTCAATAGAATCAAAAGTGTTACGATGTTCATAGAGTTTTGAGATCACAACAACTCACCGGTCATTGTTTCGATTCCAGCGCTTCAAAATGTTTCTTCGCAGATCGAATATTCATAAGTGTGGCAGCCGGCGAAACATTACCATCTGCCAGTACAACCATGATGAAAGTGTTCGGAGTAAAAGCATCAATGAATGCAGCAAAATGGCTGTTTCGTACATGCATATATTCAAACTGAGAGCCCATTTTACTGAAAGAATATTTAAATAGCAACGCACCAGACATAAAGCAAATAATCCCACCTGCAACTGAGCTTAAACTGTTTTATGATATTCGAAACCTTCTCGAATCGATGCATATCACGATGTTCTGCCATTTCCGCGTGGGCGATAACAAGAAATGTTGCTCTTTCAAACAGCATCACCTGAATGCTCGAAAGGATTTTCCAAAAATTGCAACATGTCAACCGATGGAAGATTCCCAATAGACCTGTTCGTAGGTGCTAACTTAGTTGGGGGGGGGGGGCACGCGGCGGCGCGGCAGTCTGCTCACCTGGGCTCTCTCGAGCGAGACAGTGTAAACTCGAACATTCCAGCTTTTCACGCATGTCAAGTGACTGCCCCCACCCCCCCCTAGACTGGCTACACTCCCCCCTGGCCCACGGATTTCCGAACATGCCAGGCGAGCAGACTGCCGCGCCGCCGCGTGGCCCCCCCAACTAAGTTAGCACCTGTTCGTATACAAAAACAACCGTATCGAAAAAGAAAGAATGATAGAAATCTCGAGAATCATTGGAAAAAAAAACACAGCTACGGTTTCGAGAAATGGGAAACGAGCTGCGGATGCCCATCCAAGCTTCGGTAAAGACTGAGCTGCAGCAGCGCTGAAACCTACACTCTGCTCCTACCCTGGCATTATCTAATTTTGAATTTGATCATTCAAAAATCTTGCCTCCTACTTCAGCTGTAGGCTATCGGCGGGTTCTTAAACGTGGCAGCACTGAACACAGCAGTAGCGGCCTTCCATAGAATAGGCTACAACTACACTTTCCTAGGGAACGTCCTGTTTAGTGTCAGCTACTGCGTTTGCAATTTTGATCGGAACTCGTCTATGATAGCTCCACAAGACCCTACCGCCATCAATTGTGCCTTACCGCAGGACGCGCGATCTCCAAAAAGATCCTCGCAAGGAGACCAACGCAATTAAGTTGCTCTACGTCAATACAGGCTACAAAGTTACCACAATAACACTAAGTATGACTAAGATAACTATACCAGATGCCAAATGCCCAGTTTCTAGGTTTAAAATGGAAGTCGAATGTGTGGCCGACGCTTCTCAGAATACAAATTAATACCGGTGTTTCTGCTTATTTTTCAACTACGGAAAAAAGGGCTATTAGCACACTGGTACCAACATAATAAGAAAACATGGAGTTTTAATGCATTAATAGCCTTGCATTTCGGCTTTTTTTGAGTTTTGCAATTTCGGAAAGTTCAGAGAAACATGAGGCCCTACTGCAAGAGCCCGCAGAGGGCGATAGACTATAACATTGACGAAGTAGTGAGGCTTTTATTGGGCACGAATACCTTACCTCATCCGCATCCAAGATAGCAGCAAATTGTTTCAGTTTCTGCTCCATTATACTTACATTCGGTATGAGTTTGTAAACAATTGCAGACCATGCCTAAAATTTTCAACAAATAGAAATCACAGCTCACAGTTGTGTGTAACACTAACCAGTTCCTTAGTCCATAGAGTTTGGAAGAAATTGAAAGATTTCTGCACTTTTATGAGAAAGCAAATTTATTTGCGATACGTTGATGCCCCGCACTCAGTTTTTCCACAGTTTCTTATTTGGAAGGATTTCAGGTGTAAAAGGAAATTTGCGATGATACGTGCATCATTGAACTAATTTTTGATTTGACGCTGACTTGGTCTGCTTTTAATTTTCAAACGCTTTTCTCAACTGGAGTTAGAGTCTGGAAATATGAGTTACACACTTCTATCATTCTTTTTCTACAGCCGGCCGTGAACGTTTCGACCGTTTTTTTTTTGCGGCCAATACGGCAACATGTTATGCGATTCATACTGCACCTGGTGTCGAGGTCATTACTATTACTCCAGTGGCTTTGGCGAGTTCGCCTTTTTCAGAACTTTTTGTGATAGATCTCTATAAACAACACGGAGTGATGTGGTTACAGGTGGCTCCACATCCCACGCAAATGGTCCGCTAATCAAATATCACATCGAACCCTGCAGGCCAACCCAATATTTTCTTCCCCTGCGGTTAACAGAAACCGCCCACAACTATTATATAAGATCAAAAGATCAAAAAAAGGACTTATATCGGTCAACTCCTTAGTCATGAACAGAACTTGGCCGTTGTATCGCCAAGTGGCTCTGCGTACCACGCACGTGGCATGTGCCATATCGCATCCAAATGTCGTTGTGATGCAGAATGGAAAAGCGTGGCGCATCCCAAGGAGACGACCGGAAATGTTCTGTGAATCTGATTATGTATCATTCCTAGCTAGAGAGAGAATGTAGACAGCTATATGAGGCTAGGCTTATCGCTAGAGGCTTTTTAATTTCAAAGGAGACAAAATATATTAGAGTCCAGCTGAAAGCTTCGACATGATGACCTGCTAGGTAATCAGTGTGCGATTGTCACTCTCGTTTTTTTGTGACCTCGAGAGGTTTCAGTTGTTGTGGATGGTCTGAAATGGATGTGATATCTTATATTTAGTCGGATACTACAAAGATCGGTTTCCATTCTGATGGGATGAGCGCGCATCACTTAACAATGTTTCAAGATCAGCGACCAGGCCTCTCATGCTTTTAGTACATTTGGAAGACCACGTTGGGTGCGGTCTAATACAAATAACGACGCCACACTGTACAGGGTGGGGCAAAACTATTGGTGCACCTACAGGGGGGGAAGTCACTTTGTCCATGGCGCACATCATCAAATTTTAGGATGCCGTTGTTGATGAATGTTTTACGGCAGAATATTCCTTAGGTGTCCCCCCAAAAGCAGAAGCAGGCCCTCCTTCACTGCCCCACCGTCTTCAGAATATGACGTCATCTGCCGTCACCGTCGAGCTCAACGAGGCTTACCGTAATCGCTCCGGCCTGAAGCTGCTACATAATTTCTTCAATGGATTAACTGGTGAATAGCTTCCAGAGACACTAGCTGTGACTGTGCAAGACCGCTTTTGACCAGCGTTTCAGGGACGTCGTAATGGTCTATGGTACCTCGACGACCTCGTTGAGCTCGTACCGTGAACCATGTTTCCGTGGGAAAATCTTCTGATGTCGTCGGTGTAGAAGGCTGTTATGTAACTTTTTGATAGATAGAATGTGCTCTTCAATATTCAGTTGGCTCATTTGGTTTGGTTTCGCAACGTGTATTTAATTCCGTTTTGAATGTGGAGGGAAGTGACTCTTTTTTGGCCCCTCTATTTTGGACTTTCTAACGTTTCTCAGGCATTCTCCTTCCATCCTCGACTTACGATATGTTGCTTGAACATACTCCTACTAGTACGCCCTATTTTCAAAGTGGTTCGACATCCTCTTTGCAAGCTGCAACCATCAAACTCCAACAGAGCGTTACGCAAACGTGCTCTCGTCAACTTCTCGAATTATCGAACATCGTTCAAACTTCGTTCAGACTCAACATTTGTTAAGCACCGTGCCAGCGTCTTATTTAGGGAGGGTTACGGGTGGATTCTGCCTAGGCTTTGCTTCGGAACACTGACCCCGATCAGTTTCGACGAACGACTCTCCAATTCTCAGGACTACATCGATATCATTTCAAGTTTGGCCGCTTTAGAGAAAAAGTCTGCCCTATCATGCGCTCAGCTTTGATCCCTCTCATGACGGCGCTGCCAAGAAGTGTAAATGCTAGAGCCGATGATCAAGGCGTTTGAGGCGTTTTATGATTTGAATTGTTATCTTTTCTACAAATAAGATTCATGGTTACAATTGATTACTGAAAACAAGTCACGAAATGAGAGCGAAATACTGCTGCATCAGTAATTTTGCCCTTCCCTGTTATGCCACGATGACTGTGCCACTGTGATCAAGATCCACTTTCTACACCCGGAAGCCACACATAAGAAAAATAGGTTTTGATAAGGTGATCCAAAAGGAATTTTCAAACCCCTCGTGTATCTTAGGTACCTTGGAATGTATTGGGTTGCAGCACAATATCGAAGGGTTTTTTGGTGCTACAGATTCAGTGAATACAAGTCTTACCCAGGAGTTCAGATACATATAATTTGAAAGCACTTTTTCCGCTCTACAATACCTTGTTTGTCATTTTCTTCTATAATGTGAGTATACTCTCCAGGAATGGTCAATTGGTCAGTCCGGCCATTTGTAATGAGGTGTAGTCCGATGCACGCGTCTTGCGACGCTGAGCTCAAATCCGTTTTCTGCCGAACGATTCTCTGAACGAAGTTACGAGGGATTCTTCTCACTGTGGCTATCTCACTGTGGCGCCCTCTACATCCCCCTATCCCACTCGGCTCGCATAAGAAGAGCCGGAGAGCAGCATATCAGTGAGCCTGGTGGTGTAGTGGATAGGCTCTGCTTCATATGAGGTGAGGTCACATGTTCGAAATCATTGACCATGGCAGCTTTTTCATTTTTTCAGGGTTCCTCATACGAGCAGAAAGCGTTTGTATTTGGTTATTGACTTGCCCTGCTCGATATATGTAAAAAACAGACACTGGAATTTCTTTCTCGTGCCTCATTTTAAAAGTTTTTTATTACACAACTGAATTTTGACACACGATTTTTCTACATACTCAAAATTTAAAAAGGGTACTGACCCATTATTCTCAATTTGCACGACGTGAATATGATTTGAAATTGAGGGTCGGGTGGAGTAAGGTTCAGATGATGACGATGGATTCCGAAAAAACTCCTATTTTGGCAGCTTTTTTCTCATATGGATTTTCGCCCACCTTGATATTCCGAACTTCTAAGCACCATATCTGACAAGGAATAGTCAGTTGGTCAGTCCGGCCATTTGTAATGAGGTGTAGTCCAATGCACGCGTCTTGCGACGCTGAGCTCAAATCCGTTTTCGATATCTGCCGAACGATTCTCTGAACGAAGTTACGAGGGATTCTTTCTCACTGTGGCTATCTCACTGTGGCGCCCTCTACATCCCCTAAAGACTTTCTTTGTTCGCTCTGCACATGCGGAAAAGCTGTTCGACCAATTCACGAGGGACTAGCACATGTGCTTGTAATTTATTGAGTTTTGTACATTTATGTGTCTTCTCTGTGTCAAAGTTCAGTTGTCCAATAAAATTCTCAGTCCTTTAATTTAATAATTGCCGTCGGAATAGAATCGTAAATAATGACGAAAAGAACACCGCTGACCAGTTTTATGCTTGGCTTTGCTTTTGGGTTTTGCTTTGAACTCCGCGATGCAATATTATGCTCCAACATTATGAAAGTCTCCAGCCCACATGTGAAATGGTAATCGGTAAATATAGCGCAAACTGCCAAAAAGTGTGCATGAAAAAGCGAGTTGACCAAGACGGAATAATACCGTACATCTTATGGCCTGGTACGGGTCGCTTCGCCTTTATGTGCACCTCTTGTCATGCGTTGCTCAGCTAATAACAGTGACAGAGACTTCTCTGCCCCCGACACTGACCGAGCTTAATTACTATGGCGCCTGGAGCTTCGAAATGACGTCAGGTATTCGCAAGTTGGAGAATAGAACTTACTTTATAAAGGGTTTCGTCCCAAATGCTGCTACGGAAGCACTGACAGACGGTACTTGCTCGATCTGGACCAGCAGCCATTTCGCTAAAACGCAAGACGAGCGAAGCGCGGTCCTCGAACGTCTATAAATGAGGGAAAATACCCACTGGATACAAAAAAAGAGAAAACAACAAGTTTGGAGGAACGCGCAACTGACCTGGTCTCGATGATCTACCTCGATGAGATCCATTTTATGAATAAGACAAAACACCTGAACATAATGAGAACAACTATTCATAAACTGTTCATGAACGACTCCAAAAGAGCATAGCATTGGATCATAGTCACTCCACAAATGCAGTACCTTGAAACACTTCCAAGTAATTGATAAAACTTTATTTGTACAAACACAACGGCATGGACTTGCAGAAGGAATCACAAATATGACAAGCGAGTCATAACTGGGTAGAGGAACAACTCAATTAAAGTCTCTGATAAAGGACTTTTTTGTAATAATATGAACGTGCAGAGGATATTCTCTACGCTGACGCAAGGGAAAAATTAATAAGGAAACACCCTGAAGGCACAGTGAAACGAACACGAAAGAGCTCATCGAGAGAGACAGCAACAATAAAGTGTGACAGATGATTAGAGCAAGAGGGACGTTGTGGCGATCACAAAAGCATCCAGCATACTATTTATCACTAACAACCGAATTGGAATTCAAGAATTAAAGCGATCAAAGGCAACAAAACAACTTAAAAGCAATCAAGTGTATGGGGCAAGTATTTAACTGTGATTGCTTTTACATTGCAGAAGGACACAATAACACAGTATATAATTAACAACAGTACAAATTAAATGTCTCGCTTACATGGCGTGCAAGAAATTCTTCTTCATGAAATAAGCAAGAACAGCCTTGATGAGATTATCACACAGATCTAAAAAATTCGCATTGCTGCAAATGGAGTTCTTCTACAACTTTTAACCAGTAACTGAAACATAAACAATCACGATAGCTGAAAATGATCATGATAATAATACGAATGCTCCAGAAATTCTCGATCATGAGTTACAGAACTGAATGCGATTGTAACGATCTGTGAACCCAAAAAACCCAGCACACTTTTTCTTTGAAGTTAGGATTGCTTGAGAATTGCCTGTGGATATAGACACTAAGAAAATAACTTTTTCGTATAAAGAATGTTTTTTTCGTTATAAAAAATATATATATATATATATATATATATATATATATATATATATATATATATATATATATATATATATATATATATATATATATATATATATATATATATATATATATATATATATATATATATATATATATATATATATATATATATATATATATATATATATATATATATATATATATATATATATATATATATATATATATATATATATATATATATATATATATATATATATATATATATATATATATATATATATATATATATATATATATATATATATATATATATATATATATATATATATATATATATATATATATATATATATATATATATATATATATATATATATATATATATATATATATATATATATATATATATATATATATATATATATATATATATATATATATATATATATATATATATATATATATATATATATATAAGACTATATCCCACCGATATTCTTTCCATAATACAGTCCAAGAATATACAGCTCTGATAAAAGGATGTGAATAAGCTGGTCACGTCTGGGGTTGTACAAGGCACCATAGGTGGAGTTGCCAGTGACCCGGTCAAACTATTTATAACTACAGCTTATGTGCAAAACTTAAGGACGCTACATGAAAGAATGGTAACTATTCTGATCACTTGTGGAGGATCCATTAGTCGTTCTTTATCAACTGAGTTTTCTTTTATGTGCCCTGCGTATTTGTCTTGTGGTTTAGGTTTACAATAGATTCATGTTGCGCCCAGAACACGTTGTTGGGAAAATCTACGTCGTCCCAATGTTGTCACACCAGTGTAATTCTCGCGCGGAGAGGCTTTATAGCGTGGCGTCGAGCAACAGGCTGAGGTGCACCGCTGTGGATTTGACTCGGTGAGACCTTTAGCTCGAGTTGTTACTGATTAGGAGTGGGCAAACGTTGATTAGGATAAGTTTCATTTGAGATTTCCGAGATGCTTCCTTCAGGCCTTGAAGACGACGAACTAGTCGAAACGTCGGAAAGATAAAGGCTTCACTATGACAAACATGCTTGGCACAGAGAAAAACCTTCAATTATCTGGACATGCCAAGGTTTCGAGAAAGGCGAACTTGGACACTACAACTTCTTTTGTTAGGTTGGCTGAATTGAAGACAAAATTTTCGATCAATAATTCTCATCATAAATAAAGCACATCAACCTGAAAAATCTTCTTCACATATGTTATGGGCTCGTCACCTTTTGTTACGCAAAACATGTGTGCCTACAGCGTAGAACTATTGCTGCTTGAACTCAAAGAAGTTGGGCACTCAATTTTAGACGTCGTCGCGGTTATTGAACTGGTTTGCTGCTGAGGAGTGTTGCGTTGACCTTAGTAAATAATAGTCTTATGGCGCCAGACTTGAGTAACATGGCGCGGAAGCTAGGACGTCCCAGCCTCACTTCTCGATTTCTTGTTGTCTGATTTTCACGACATGTGATCTTCCGTTATTCTGGAATAGTTTTACGTTGGCCGAATTCACCCCCCCCCCCCTGCAGTGCGCTTGGCTTGGAGCGGTGGAGCTTTTATATGCAGAGTTCAGTCGTAACTGTATAATCCACAATGACCGCTCTACGGTACACTGTTGCTATACTATATCACCATATAAAAGCAGACTCAACTAGTTCTCCGTTACCTAGTGCTAGAGGTCAAAACCTATGCTCTTCGTTATCAGGTCCTTCACCTCAGTCTTGAAAGAGCTGAAACCATGGCCAGAAGTGCATCGGAGACCAAAGGCTGCCTCTCAATCTCTGGCAGACAAGAGTGTGATTCTGGCCGTTTTCTCTTTGTTTGAATATTTATACGCTCAGGCGACGTTTTCTGATCAAATACTTTCGAGCAAAACTTTTGGCTCGAAGAACATCGGCTCATTAGTGCGATGCGCACTTGCACTTGGGACGTTCTTATTTTCCGCCATGCGTTGCTTTCCTTATTTTTTCCATTTATTCTAAAAAAAAATTCGAGATCCCACCGATTATGTAAACAAAAACGGCGTAGTTGATCATTCTACCTATGATCAATTATGCTTGACGTTGGCGAAGTTTCTCCAAGAAGGACAAATTTGCAAGTTCCGTACATCCCTAGTTTTTTTTTTATATTCTCATAACATGTATTCAAAAAAGATTAGCTAAAACAAATGTAAGCCCATACATATAGCGAGATATATGTTTTCTTCTGAACACAGCACAAAATATTTTGGGTCCACTATAGCAGGAGTAAGTGAATTTACCTTTTCATTGCCACAACATGTCATTTTGATCGGACTTCAACTACTACGCTTCATGATCGCATCAAAACATTGAAAATTGTTGATAAAGATTTGATCGCGTTCTATGTTGCGTAGTTATAGCTCAAAACCCCTACAGGAGGCTTCCTCGTTTGCAAAATCGCTGCAGTCCCATGCGCGAAAAACCCAAAACGGGCGCTGTCATCACTTTGTTAAAAAGCCGTCCATGAGCGACTCGGACGAGAAAATTACGCGTTTGCCTAAGGCACAAAAGACACAACCAGGGATGAGTTCTAATGGCTGAATCATTCATACATGGTAGAATAGAGCTGCTAACGGAGGCGTCCTGTCTCGTCTTTGTGATGCGCAGAAAAGGTGTTCGGACCTTGCAAAGGCCACTGCAACCGCTTCAATTTCTATTCAGCGGTATGCCGGTGTCTGGCACTAGTTCGCGTCTCTGTCATCCATGCTTGGCCAAAGCAAAGAGAGAGACATGTCCCCCGAAAAAAGTTCAACTAGCAATCGCGAACAATACCAAAATGATCCAGAAAAGTTGAAAAATTGAAATTTCTTTGTTTCAATAGAATCAAAAGTGTTACGATGTTCATAGAGTTTTGAGATCACAACAACCCACCGGTCATTGTTTCGATTCCAGCGCTTCAAAATGTTCTTCGCAGATCGAATATTCATAAGTGTGGCAGCCGGCGAAACATTACCATCTGCCAGTACAACCATGATGAAAGTGTTCGGAGTAAAAGCATCAATGAATGCAGCAAAATGGCTGTTTCGCACATGCATATATTCAAACTGAGAGCCCATTTTACTGAAAGAATATTTAAATAGCAACGCACCAGACATTAAACAATATCCCACCTAACTTGGCTTAAACTGTTTTATGATATTCGAAACCTTCTCGAATCGATGCATATCACGATGTTCTGCCATTTCCGCGTGGGCGATAACAAGAAATGTTGCTCTTTCAAACAGCATCACCTGAATGCTCGAAAGGATTTTCCAAGAATTGCAACATGTCAAACTCGATAGGAAAGATTCCCAATAGACTCTGTTTCGTAGTGCAACTTAGTTGGGTGGGGGGGCACTGTCGGCGGCGCGCGCGGTCTGCTCACCTGCGGCTATTCTCCGAACGAGGCAGTGCAATCTGACAAGGGAAGGATACCAAGTCGAAGTGGCCATCCGTAATGAAACCTATACTCAGAGATGTATTTTCGGACGCTGATCTCAAATCCACTCTCCAAATCTGCGAAACGATTCTCTGAAAAAAGTTACGGGGGTTGTTTCAAATGAATGTTCATTACAAGAGGCGCCTTCAATGAGGCTGCAGCGGCGTCCTGGCCGAGTGGTAGTGGTGGCGCCTCATGCTGGTGAGACTATGGTTCGGTTCTTGGTGAAGTCCAAATTTTTGCTTTTATCAATTATGCCTGTTTTCCAGCCCAAAAGAACCTTTAGTGTGGAAATTAACACAATGTACAAAGCAGTCACTTGTTTGGGGGCTCACTTCAAGCATAAATCGCTTTCTTCACGAAGTTTTCGATCAATTATTCTACAGGTGTCGAGATGTTGCCACGTCACCAGAGATGACGTCATTTCCGGTGAGAACTATGAGTAGCATAAACGGTAGAGATACCACTATCAAATCAATAGTGTCTTACATTGAATATGTTCTGTCCCCAAGTTGTCCTCCTCAAACAAGTGACTGCTTTGTACATTGTGTTAATTTCCACACTAAAGGTTCTTTTGGGCTGAAAACAGGCATAATTGATAAAAGCAAAAATTTGGACTTCACCAAGAACCGAACCATAGTCTCACCAGCATGAGGCGCCACCACTACCACTCGGCCAGGACGCCGCTGGCAGCCCTCCATTGAAGGCGCCTCTTGTAATGAACATTCATTTGAAACAACCCCCGTAACTTTTTTCAGAGAATCGTTTCGCAGATTTGGAGAGTGGATTTGAGATCAGCGTCCGAAAATACATCTCTGAGTATAGGTTTCATTACGGACGGCCACTTCGACTTGGTATCCTCTGTCAGAACATTCCAGCTTTTCACGCATGTCAAGTGACTGCCCCCACCCCCACCCCCCTAGACTGCCTACACTCCCCCTGGCCCACGGATTTCCGAACATGCCAGGCGAGCAGACTGCCGCGCCGCCGCGTGCCCCCCCCCCCAACTAAGTTAGTGCACCTGTTGTTATACAAAATACAACCATGTCGAAAAAGAAAGAATGATAGAAATCTCGAGAATCATTGAAAAAAAAAACACAGCTACGGTTTCGAGAAATGGGAAAACGAGCTGCGGATGCCCATCCAAGCTTCGGTAAAGACTGAGCTGCAGCAGCGCTGAAATCCTACACTCTGCTCCTACCCTGGCATTATCTAATTCCGAATTTTGATCATTCAAAAATCTTGCCTCCTACTTCAGCTGTAGGCTATCGGCGGGTTCTTAAACGTGGCAGCACTGAACACAGCAGTAGCGGCCTTCCATAGAATAGGCTACAACTACACTTTCCTAGGGAACGTCCTGTTTAGAGTCAGCTACTTGCGTTAATTTTGATCGGAACTCGTCTATGATAGCTCCACAAGACCCTACCGCCATCAATTGTGCCTTACCGCAGGACGCGCGATCTCCAAAAAGATCCTCGCAAGGAGACTAAGCGCAAATTAAGTTGCTGTACGTAATACAGGCTAAAATTTACCACAATTACACTAAGAATGACTAAGATAACTATACCAGATGCCAAATGCCCAGTTTATAGGTTTTAAAATGGAAGTAGTCGAATGTGTGTGAATGCTTCCATAAACAAATAATACCGTGTTTTTGCTTTGTCATCCACTTACGTGAAAAAAAGTCATTAGCCAGCTGGTACAAAATAATAATAAGAAAACATGGAATGTTAATGCATCAATAGCCTTGCATTTCGGCTTTTTTTTGAGTTTTGCAATTTCGGAAAGTTCAGAGAAACATGAGGCCCTACTGCAAGAGCCCGCAGAGGGCGATAGACTATAACATTGACGAAGTAGTGAGGCTTTATTGGGCACGAATACCTTACCTCATCCGCATCCAAGATAGCAGCAAATTGTTTCAGTTTCTGCTCCATTATACTTACATTCGGTATGAGTTTGTAAACAATTGCAGACCATGCCTAAAATTTTCAACTCATAGAAATTTTCAACACCAAGCTTACATGTGTAACACAGTGTTGTGTTAACACTTAACAGTTCTATTAGTCAATAGAGTTTCGGAAGAAATTGAACAGATCTCTGTCCCACTTTAATGAAATAGCAAATTTTTCTGCGATAACTTCTTGATGCCCCGCACTCTAAATTTTATAATCGAAAGAATTTCGGTGTGACAAGTGAAAATTTGCGATGAGACGTGCATCATGACCATTTTTGATTTGAACGCTGACTTGGGTCTGCTTTTTCCAATTGTCTAACCCGCTTTCTGAACTGGAGTTGAAGTCTGGAGTATGAGTTCCACCACTTCTTCATTCATTTTCTACAGGCCGCGCTGTGAACGTTTTACCTTTATTTTTTTTCGCAGGCCGTAACAAGTGCGAAGCGGAATTCAGTGTAGACTAGAATAGTGATCGATACTATAGCAGAACTGATTGCGTATTCCCTGTTTTTTGCTACTCCATAGCTATACCGAAAATATAAGTTCGAGATAGTTCAATAGTTTGAAGTTGTGGCCTGTGCACTTTGGCAAGTTCGCCTTTTTCAAAAACTTGCTTTTCAGAACTTATTCTGTTGAGAGTCTCTATAATAGTACGGAGGTATTGGACAGATGGCTCCACATACCACGCAAATGGTCCGGAAACCAAATATCACATCGAACCCTGCAGGCCGATCCAATATTTTCTTCCCCTGCGGTTAAGAGAAATCGCCCACAACTATTATATAAGATCAAAAAAGGGACTTCTATATCGTCAACTACCTACCCTGAATGGCACTTGCCGTGATTGCTAACGGCTCTACATACGCGCCACTGGCATTGCAAATATGGATTCAAATGTGTTATGATGCCGAAGAAATGCGTTGCATACCCAAACCATAAGCGTGACTGCTGAAATAGTGTTGAATCTGATTGTACATTCCTAGCTAGAGAAGAATGTAGACGGCTATATGAGGCATCGCGTATCGCTAGCGAGGCGCTTTCGAACTGTCAAAATGAAGACAAAAATATTTTCGACCCAGCTAAAGCTTCGCACTCCGATGACCTGCTAGGTAATCAGGTCCATATGTCAATCTCGTTTTTTGTGACTCTCGAGAGTCATCAGTTGTTGTGTGTTTGCAATGAATGGTGATATCTTATATTAGTAGACACTGCTAAAAGTCGTTTCCTTCAATGGGTGAGCGCGCGTCATTCTCAACATGTTTCGCCACAATCATCCGACCCCATTCCTCATGCTATAGTACAACGGAGCCGACGTGGGTTGCGTTCTGTAAGACAAATACACGACGCCAACACTGTACAGGTGGGCACTAATATTGGTGCCGCTACAGAGCGGGCAAAAACAGCCACCTTATTGTCATTGGCGATCACATCGTCCAATTCCCTCGTCGCACAGGATCCGTGTGATGATTGTTCACGGAAAAATATTCCTTAGGTATCCCCCAGAAGCAGAAACAGTCCCTCCTTCACTGCCCCCATCGTCTTCAGAATATGACGTCATCTGCCGTCACCGTCGAGCTTAACGAGGCTTACCGCAATCGCTCCGGCCTGAAGCTGCTACACTAATCTTCAACCGATTAATGTGAATAGCTTCTAAGAGACACTAGCTGTGACTGTGCAACCGCTTTTGACCAGTGCTCCAGGGACGTCGTGTGGTCTATGATACCTCGATAACCTCGTTGAGCTCGTACCGTGAACCATGTTTCCGTGGGAAAATCTTCTGATGTCGTCGTTGCAGGAGGATGTTGTGTTACTTCGTATTGATAGATTCATCCGGCTCTTTTTCATATACAGTTTAACCTTATTTGTTTGTTTGCTTTGCAACGTGTAGTAAACCGTTTTGAATGGAGGGAGTGACTCTTTTTTTTGGCCCCTGTAAATGTTTTGGACTTTCTAACATTTTTAGGCTTTCCCCGTCCATCCAAGACTTATGATATGTTGCTTGAACATACTCCTACTGGTACGCCCTATCTTCAAAGTGGTTCGGCATTCATTTTGCAAGCTGCAACCATCAAACTCCAACAGAGCGTTATGCAAACGTGCTTTCGTCGACTTCTCGAATTTTCGAGCATTGTTCAAACTTCGTTTCAACCTGATATTTTTTAAAAAATGGCACTTGGTCATATTTAAGGAGAGGTAGGGTGGATTCTGCAGAGGCTTTGCTTCGGAACACTGACGGAGAGGTGTCCAGGAGCAGTGCGTCAAGCAGACCCCCGATCAGTTTCAACGAAGACTCTCCAGTTCTCCGGATTATCGATATGAGTTTGGCTGTCTTAGAGAAAAAAATGCGCCCCTTCCCCTAATGCTCAATTTTGATTCTCTCATGACGGGCTCTTTAGAACGGTGGAACGAAACGAAGTGAGAATACCTTCTGTGTAGTGGTCAGAACTGTGTAAATGCTAGCCAAAGCCGATATTTTAGGCTGTTTTATATTTGAAGGGCGGAAGGTGTAGTGGCAAGTGGCACGCTTACCACGCGAGCGGTCCGGGGATCAAATCCTGGGTCGTGAGTCGCCCGGGCCAACCAAGCCTTCCATCCCTCCGGGGTCGGTTAATTGGTACCAGACTTGTCTGGGAGGATAAAAACACTGACTTGTACATCGGCTGGCCCCCGCAAGTCATTGTATAGGCCACATCGCATTCAAATGCCACTGCGAATGTACAAATGGAAGTAGAATGCGTGCCGCATCCCAAAAAGGGATTGATCAACGGCAAATGCTTTATCCTTTATCCTTTTATCCTTTCAATTGTATCTTTTCTACAAATAAGATTCATGTTACAATTGATTACTGAAAACAAGTCACGAAATGAGAGCGAAACACTGATGCATCAGTAATTTTGCCCTTCCCTGTTATGCCACATGACTGTGCCACTGTGATCAAGATCCACTTTCTACACCCGGAAGCCACACATAAATAAATAGGTTTTGATAAGGCGATCCAAAAGGAATTTTCAAACCCCTCATGTATCTAATAGGTACCTTTGAATGTATTGGGTTGCAGCACAATATCGAAGGGTTTTTTGGTGCTACAGATTCAGTGAATACAAGTCTTACCCAGGAGTTCAGATACATATAATTTGAAAACACTTTTCCGCTCTACAATACCTTGTCTGTCATTTCCTTCTATAATGTGAGTGTAGCCGCTCCAGCGAAGGGTCAATTTGTCCAGTCCGGCCACTCGTAATGCGATGTAGTTGTGCCCGAATAAGTTTACGGGATTCTTCTCAGTACATCTGTCAACGTGAGCCTCTACCAGGCAGGGTGAAAATCGTGTCGAGGAAATAACCGCCTCTTTACGACCCCCCTCCAAAACATGGACTCTGATACGACCCCTTTTTGTCCTCTGCACATCCGGTTTCATATCAAAAAATGCTAGTTTCAGATGTGCGAGAGGGACGCAGCGCCGCTGCCACGCAAATGCGGCTTGATCCAAATGCTAGATTCAGATTAGGCTTCCTTCCTTTAAAGACATTTAACCTTTGCCACATTGGCCGGAAAGTAGAACATTGAAGGAGGTACTGCCCCTACACAGTTGAACAGTCTCGCGCTCCAGTATAGCGGCGCTAACTACCCGCGATCGCGTCGCGCGCTGTGCCTAGAGCGCGCTAGTTGGAAAAATCGTCAAATGTACCCCCTATTTAAAGGACTATAACTTTCTTCATTGATAACCATTTCAGAAAGTGAAGGCAGCTTTTGAATGCACAAGACTTCTAGTTTCTAAATTGTGCTGAGCGTTTTTCTAAGCACGCCTATTCTCGAGAGTGGGAGACGTCGAGAAATTGTCGAGGAAATTGAAATTTACATGCGAGTTCCCACTCTTTGGAAGACAGTAGCTGTCTTCATTGGCAATGCTTGAAAATCGGAGGAAAGCGTTGTAAAGTAGAAGATTTGCGCTTTTTGAAGGTGCTCCATTTGTTTCGAACGCTTTCTAGTTCGCGAGAAATCTGCGTCGAGGAAATGTCAAGGAAATTTTTGAAGCCACTCGAAAAGTAGGGAACTTCTTTGAACACCTTCAAAATACTTCTGTACGCGTCAGTTCGATGGAGTAAATTGAAAATGATGCACTTGGCGCGGATCCATTCCGTTCTTGTATGCGCCATGCAGTGACCCCACTCGGAGTCATTGGGAAGGTGTTTTGTCCTAGTGACGACTTGCTTAAGCACACCAAAAGATATTTCCAGTATTAACTAATTAGGATAACTCTTGTGGTCATAGTGATGTCTGATTATTCCTTTATTCAAATCGCTTCCTTTCCAACCCGTTCTGATGAATGACACGCTTGCGGTTGCAGGATCTGATGATGCCAAGAAGGCTGCGAATCTGCCTGTTTTGAACTTTCTAACAAGATGCTGTTCCTCCATTAAGTTTTCGAGCATTAACGTCATTCTAGAGTAGATAATCGCTGCCCTTTCCCTACGATTCTTTTGCAGGACGCGTTGCCTTCCTATGCCACACTGATCACTACGAACCAAACCAACACACACTTTCCATTTAAATTTAATTCCAGACAGGTGTGAGATATTTGCATTAGGCTAACTACAACACTTGTGAAACTAATGATGACAGCAAATAAGTGGCAGCAGCACCGTTGTGTCCGTTGATGACCCTTTTGATTACGACCCCCTCCCAACTCTCATCGGAGCAAATACGACCCCCTGTCGAGGATTTCCTCGACCGTTATTCACCCTGCTCTACAATCCCCTATCTCCCTGGGCTCGCGTAAAAAGAGTGCAGAGAGCATACAGCCATAGCACAGTCATACCAGTGAGGCTGGTATTGTAGTGGATAGTGCTCCTGCTTCATATGAGTGAGGTCACATGTTCGAATTCATGGCCATGGCATCTTTTTTCATCTTTTCAGGGTTCCTCATACGAGCCCAGAAAGCGTTTGTATTTGGTTTTAACTTGCCCTGCTCGATACATGTAAAAAACAGACACCGGAATTTCTTTCACTTGCCTCATTTTAGAAGTTCTTTATTACACAACTGAATTTTGACACACGATTTTTCTACATACTCAAAATTTAAAACCAGGGTACTGCCAGGTCATTCAAGTTCTCAACCATTCCAATGTACGACGTGAATATGATTTGAAATTGAGAGTCAGGCGAGTAATCTTCAGTGATGACGATGGATTCAAAAAAAACTCGTGTTTTTGCAACTTTTTTCTACATATGGATTTTCGCCCACCTTGATATTCCGACTTCTAAGCACCATATCTGACAAGGAATAGTCAGTTGGTCAGTCCGGCCATTTGTCCAATGGGGTCTAGTCCAATGCACGCGTCGTTGGACGCTGACCTCATATCCGTTTTTGATATCTGCCGAACTATCCTCTTAACGAAGTTACGACGGATTCTTTCAACTGTGACTATCTTATTGCAGCGCCCTCTACATCCCCTAAAGACTTTCTTTGTTCGCTCTGCACATGCGGAAAAGCTGTTCGACCAATTCACG